ATTGGAATTAGGAATGGATATTGTTACATTTGGTTGTAGTCAGCCAAAGGGTTAAATTGCACTTGGAAGGTTCTTTTTTTAAATATTCCAGTTGTAAACTACTGCCAGATTTTATCTTTATCTACTTTCTCCTCAATCTTTGGTAGAAATTGTCCATCAATGCTTTTACTTGCCATCATTTTGTTTCTGCTTTTAAATTTAGTTTTTGTTAATTTGCTCTTGAAATTATCTTTGTTCCGAGGTGAATGAGGAGAATCCTGTCTTCCATTGTACCACAGAATCATTTTTGAAAAGATACATAGTGTTCAGACTTCACTTGGTCACATAGACCAGGCCATGAGATACAACTCATCCATCTTTACAATTTAGAAATTGCACTTTCCCATTCAATATTGTGGTAGAATCTGGGGGAGGACAACTCACAGTTACTGTTTGAAGATCAGGTGGCAACTGTGGCTTAGGCAGCTTTGGTACATATTCCTCTAGTGTGCTAGTTGCTCCCTTTCTTAGATAAGGATGCCCATCTGAAGGGCATCTGGACATAGTTACTTCAAGATTGGACTACTACATAGAAGTGCCCTTTAAAATTGCTCAGAAGCTACAACAGGTCCAAAATTTGGCAGGATAGGCAGTAATTGTCTGCCATGTGATGCCACTGCTCCATGAGTTTCACTGGTTGCCAATAGGCTTCTGGACGCAATTCAAGATGATGGATACCAGATTTAAATAACACAAGCACATATCCTTAGCATGAGAGACACCAGTGCACAAAAATATATATCCTAGCATACCATATATCTCTTCAGAACAGCTTTCCTGACAGAGACTCCCCAACTGTAGACATTTCATTTCCAAGACATCCCTCGGTAATCTAGCAGCATTTAAGACTCCTGGATTCAAATATGGAAGAAAAGAAGGCACGAGAACTGAACAGTCAAATAGGGAGAAATATTAGTTTAATACTAACAGTCCTTCTGTCCATTTTAAATGGCAGGTTACAAAATGATTTTCACAATGGGGCAATTTTCTTGCCAGGCAGATGTGAACATTTTCATGAGAGAGATATGTATCAATACAAAGATACAGGCCTACTTGGAAACAGAAGGCTAGTGATCCATAGATGATTTTCAATAGGCAAGTGGACTTTCTTGGGTTTTTTTTCCCTTGAAAACATTTCATTTTTCATCCAAGAAGCTTCTTTGCTTCTGACTGAATAGTGGAGAATAGAAAGATTTATATTCTTTGTAGTCATCTGGTCATTAGGAGAGAGAGAGAGAGAGAGAGAGAGAGAGAGAGAGAGAGAGAGAGAGAGAGAGAGAGAGAGAGAGAGACGCTAGCAATGTTGCAGTTTTGTTTTAAATGTGCTTGTCTCCTGTCCTCTATGTGTTAATGAAGCTATATTTCTACAGATTTGTATTCTAAATAAGCTGAATTTTGCTCTCTTTAAAGACAGTTTTTTTTAAAAAAAAACCAGTTTCCATTTGTTGCAGATCACTGCATTTTTTGTGCATTTGTGTATATTTTGATGCATCTCTTGTAAATATTTTTAATGTACTTCTCCTGTGGAGTTTTTGTTTTGTTATTCATACCTATTAAGGTAATGTTTATTTATTGCTCTCTATTCATTTATTTAACAGGAAAGGTTTGTTAACTGAGAAGAACTATCCTCAGTCTGGCATTGTTTGCCCAGAAGTCAATATCAATGAATCATCTTAATCAACAAAACATATCTTTGTTCGAGAACAATAAGCACTACCCAATTGATAAGGTATTTCCAACCGTTAAAATCAAATAAGAAATATAATGGTTCTATTTTATCTCATTACAGTTACTAGAGGATATTTATAAGTATATATTGCATTTAAAACATAACAATACACAAACTACATTGTTTTATATTATTAATGGTTAAATTTATTTCAGGATTATCAATGGCTGCCTCTGAAATATGGCCCAGGCCTACAAACAGAATTTTAGTAAGAACTAGTAACATTCAGGTGATAAAATCTATAAACAAAAATTCTGAAAAGCAAATATTCTACTTACACAGTTAATTTTATAGTGTTATGGGAGAAATTGTCAAAATGCTCCTCTCTGCTGCTTTTCAATATTTCAGAAAATGAAGAAATCCACTTATCACAATATTAAAAAGGGATTATGGTATCAGTGTTTATGAAATACTCAACACCAGTGTGCTCACTTGAATAAAAGGATTGCAAAAAAAAAAAAAAAAATAATGCTCAGGGATAACAACTGTGTAATTATAGTACCTATTTTCTGACATGGAGAAATAATTAGGAAAATTAGTAGCAGCTATCAACTACTGAACTACTCTCTCTCTCTCCCTCTCTCTCTTTTAAGAGTGAGACAATGTCTCTTCTGCACTAATCTTTGTTGCTTCCATTATTTCAATGGAATCTGCACAAAGGAAGCTTCTGACAGATTTTGGCTCTGAAATATCTGTGTATAAATATAAACTTTCTAAATAAACAGTAATTTTACTTGCTAATATCTACTACCAAGCAGCTGACTATATTAACTGTTCTAAATAAATTTGGTTGCATTGCTATCAATGGATCTTGTTGTTATTGTTAATTGCGAAGTCGTGTCCAACCCATCGCGACCCCATGGACAACGTTCCTCTAGGCATAAATGTTATCTGTTGTCCTTTAGTGGAAAACACCTATGGTGTTGTGGGTTATGCTTGCTTTCTAAATATGCAAAATAATTGAGTATTAACTAGAATTCAGTGCGTTTATTGTAGTATGATGACTTGAAGATATGAACAGTCCTTCCAATATGTTTCCTGAAATTGATCTACAACTACAACACAGAGACCATTTCTGAAAGCACTAATAAGAAATCTTTGTTCTTCAAAAATCTTAGTATTATTTTAAATATGCCATTTTTTAAAAAGGTGAAGAATGCTAAAAAAAAAAAAAAACATTCCCGAACTGCCTAATACAATCCCAATCATTACCTGGTGTAATTTGTGAATTATTGTATATATATTTAATTTAAAATTTGGTGTGAATATTTACTGAGTGGCAAATACTTATTCTTCCCTACCAAAATGCCATGTAGTCTATTTATGTGTATCTGATACTGTTGTATTAATATATGAAGTTCTAGTGAGATTGGAAATGTATGTGGAGCACCCATTAGTGCATATGATTCCTATCCAGATAGAGATAGACAATGACTATGTTAACATGTGTTTGTCTCATGCTGTATCAGTATTTGTTTTGATTCTTAGTACATTCATTTTGCTACTTATAGCAAAGAATATCATCAGGCCAGACAAACATTTTCCTTTGTTACCTGAGATTCTTAGCTACAGAATACAGATTTTTAATGAAGGAGTTATCAAAGGCACATGTTATAGAATGGCAATTATAAAAGAAGGTTCAAATGAAAATGGGAAAAAAACTACCCTTGTGCTGTCTTGATCTTCAAATTCTAAGCAATAAATTGCATCAGGAGAGAAAAAAGAAATCTTTAGCAGCCTGATACTACAAGCAGGCTCTACTACTTTACCTACTTTGTGCCAAAGTTTTATCTGCTCCAAAAATGATTCTTGTGCTGCTGGCTTTTTGAATAAACATCTTTCTTTTAGTTCATATTATGTCTTGTCCTAGTGACTGACACAAATTCGATCTCTCATCATTATCCTGGACACGTATATTTGCCTTCCTTTAGTTCTTTATTCATATTGCTACATTGTCATTGCTTGATCCAAAAAGGATCATGGATGAGGGGGGCTTTCTATCTGTTCTGCAACCCCAACTCCACCCTTTTCCTCCCATAGCATTTTAGTTTCAAGGTCACTTTTCTTTTTCTGCCAGGAAGCAATATTCACCAACTTCCTTTTCCATGAATGCAATATGGTGAACAAATGCACTTCTGGGAAATTAACATGGTGGATAATGCTGAAACTTCAGTGTTAGGCTCTTTGTTAAATTTGCAAAAAACAAACAAACAAAAAAACAAAAAACACAACAACAACAACAACAAAACCCTGAAAAAAGAAAAGAGGCTTTACAGTGATGAGACTCATTTATCTGAATGCTGTCTTTGCCTTCTGTGATTGCTGGCATTACTGTTTTTTCTGGCAGAGACATTGTTCTGCTATATTCTAATAAGATACTTTTCCCAGCTTGAATCTCTGTTTTGCAGCATTGTTGTAGATGGCTGAAAGATCTTACTGAATTGCCATCCAACAATGTGTTACATTGGATTCTTTTGAAATAATATGCATTCTACCATAAAATAAATCTTAGTATGGAGAAAGGAGAAGCAATGTGTATTTCTGCAGATCTAGTATTGTTCATACAAAAAAATGATAAAAAGCAGTGCCAGTGGTGTAAACATATCCTCTTCTATGTCCAGTATATTTAGTTCATATATTTACTTGCATATTTATATACTATTCTGGACAATCTATTTAAACTCTGTTCTAAACTGTAATGCGAAGCGTCTTGACTCAGTTCCGGTGTTACACAATGTCAGTCCCAAGATGAAGAAAACCTTTGCTATTAGCTGCAACCATGGTGGGACCTGGTAAAGTTATTTGAATGAAAAGCAAAAAATATGGGAAGAGCATAGAAGATGGTGCTGTAGATGACTTAAATCTTATAAGGCTTTATATATTGATGTAAGCACTTAGAATGAGAATCAAAAAGCAATCAGCAACTGTTGTAGCTGTTTCAAGAAATGAACAATGTGGTATCTTCATGGTTCTTTCTATATTTTGTGGATTGCATTGCCTTGGTAAAGGGATAAAACTATCACTTGAGTAAAGAGTTTATTTATTTAGGTGAGGCATTTACTCACCTCTTCTTTCCCATTCCCATCAGTATCATGTCCTTAAACAAATACATTATTGATTGGAATAAATATTTGTTTATTTGGTTTCAGAAATGAATTAGTTGAGCCAGGTAAAGAGTGACCATTGTTTTTATTTTATGATTGTACACTGCATTTATGACTACAATAAACTCTTGAAGGTATAGACTTCACAAAAAGGAGGAAGGAATGTCTGCTAAATCTAAATGTCCATTAAGTACTTCAGCATGGAGGTTTTTGTATGTTTTCCTTTTTGAGCCCAAATCATGTACATGAGGAATCGTATTCTACTGATAACAATGAATATCTCTTTAGAAGAAACAATTAATATTGTTCACACTGATTTGACAATTGTTTGAGACAAAGTGTATTACTGCCTAAAATTTGGAGAAACTCAGATTCAGACATTTATCTACAAACTCCCAAGTTCATAAAACAAACTGCATTGGCTTATTGAATAAAGAAACAGAATACAAGCTATTACTTCTTAGTACAGGCTGTGGCATTTGACTATTCACTTGAACACTGGGAATAGATTAAAAGATTCTTTGATATTGTTAGACAAATTTTATATATTGCTAAGTACATTAGTGGATTGTTCCTTCCCAGCCTGTAGCATTTTAACTTATACTTCTCATATATCGCAAAGATATATCTGTATTGTCACAAGAAACTATTTAAAGATTAAATGAAGCAAAAATAAACTTTCTAAAGGAAGGTCTTGCTGAAAAACAGCAAAAATATTACTTCTAATAAAAGGTACAAGGATAATATATATAAAGGTTAAATGTGAAAAGAAACCTAGATTTGTGATTCAATTTGGTTAATATCTAAGCAATACTCTTTTGTTTAATTTGATAATATTAAATCAATTGTGAAGTTATAATACTTGGGACATGCAGTTTGACTGTTTTTCTGTCTGCCTGCCTATCCATCTAGGACTTATATTCCCGTCTTTGCACATCCTCTTAAAAAAAATGAAGCAACATGTTGTGTGCTACTTATACAAATGAAACCCTTCTTTCTGGTAAGATTGACAATAATTCCTATGAACGAGGCATGTTTTTAAAATTATTTATGGACTCAGAAAGAAATAATGGATTGGAAAATAGCTCTGGCTTTTATGGTGCATAGGAATATGCATGTAAGTATTAATGGGTCATTATTATTTTTAGAATAACAAATCAAGGAAAGAAGCTTTTATGATTCCTTTCTATTTCTACTTTCCTCCACTTTGTCCAAATATCTTAGCAAAAAAAAATCACAATGGAGAAAAGACGAAAGTAAGATGTAAGAAGAACTTTGTACTAGACCTGGCACTCCTTCTCTTGAAATGTTTTCCTTTTACTTGCTGTGCTTCTGAACATTTAACAGCAGCATGGTGCAATTTTCTGATAAAAGATTAAAGTAGCAGAAAATGCTTTACCATACATCTGTGTGTCACACTTTGTTACAAGCGCAGGACCAAAAGCAATTAAAGTGCACTACTTTACACACTGAACACAAATGCACAATTGCATCTAGGATGGGTAGATGAGTCTTCCTGAAACTTTACTAGTTGTATGGAATATTTGTTTAGAAATGATAAGAATGTATCTTCAATCATATGCGCTACATCTGTTGAAATTCTGCTTCTTCAATGAATATTTAACAGTTTAACATTTTAAAAATATCTATGGAGTCTCTTTGTATCTTTTCTTGGATTTAACTGAAACATGAATATCCAGGTAGTTTGCAGGTTGCTGGGGAGATAACTATGCAGTGAAAGGTAAGATGCTCACACACACAGTCCCTGGTGATACTGTAAAGAAAAGCACTCCAAACCCTGTGGATGACAATTTCATCAAATGTTCTTCTCCTTTGATGGTGTGGGAGGTGGGGAGGAATAAAAATAGATTTCCTTTATCTGAAACTGAAGGACAATGGTTAGAGAAAAATGCCAATGAGAATTTCAGGATAGCAATATTATTAGTTTCAATGTACATCAATAACTAAAAAGGAATAAAAGATCCAAGAAAGGGGACTACAAATTAAGAAATATGACAGGCATGTGAGTTTCATGACTGTATGGATTCTTAGTCTCTTTTCCTGTTCTTAGATGATGTCCCATTTGCTCCTCAGTGTGGGCAAACTATGTCCCAACCACACCAAATTTGTTCGTTTCATTGCAATCTGAGCCCATAAGTGAGATGAGCTAAAATCAACATTAGCTGTTTTATAAAAATATTACTTTGTACCTCTTATTCTAACAACATCCCCAAAAGACTCAAGATTATGGAAAATGTGTCATATTTTGCTGCTCACTATCTTAGAGAAAAAGGCAGATAACCTGTTGTAGATGTGACTGGAATTGCATTTGTGAAATTGTGAGTCTTGGGAGATGCTTTCACCTCAGCTATTTCTCACTGAGTCTTTCCCATTACCCTTTGCTTCCTGAATATCTTTGATGCCTATCATCTTCCACCCACCCACTGCACACATGTTTTATATTTTTGACACTACCTTCTATTCAGGTTTGTATCAAGGCAGAGGAGTTTTCATTATTTATCTGAGAAGAAGAGGGGATGTATTTCTGTTTATTGTCAGTTTCCATATATTTGTCACTTTCAATTACTCCCCAAACCATTCTGTAAGACATATGGTTGTCCAGAGCTAGTCAATTTCAGTTCTTCTACTTTAGAGAACTTACCTAATTACAGAATTATAGCATGATTTGTCTCTCTTTTCTCTCAGGCTATTCCTGGTGTCTTTCCATATGTTTCTTTTTTTTTCTTCATTTTTTTAAAGCTTTGGAATTGTCTAAGTGGGATGAGAGAGGAGAGTTAGACAAACATAAAGAAGACAAATCTTAGTCAAACCCACCACCTTTTTGTTCTATTGCTATAATTGATGGATATTTTTCCTGTTGGTTAATAACAAACTGAAAGAGGCCAGCAGCAAAGCTGGAACAGAAAACTAATCACCATTCTTATAACAAGTGGCACATTTAAAAATCAGGACATTATTTGACAGTGGTTTGGAACAGACACAGTTAGGATAGGCAATGAAGACAGGCAAACTTTGGCTGTTATTGTTTTGCACCATTTCAAGAACTCTAACTCAGTAATGGGGAAAAAGCCCTTATTCTAAGTTTCTAACTATTCTCCTTTATATGAGTACAATGACTACAAGCATGTTGTAATAACAGAGGCAGGATTTTCACAAGAATCTAGTTGCTGCTCTCAATAGTTAGCAATATCTATTGCATGTGGTATTTGAAGTAACATTGGAGGAAGCAGTGAATAAATTTATATAATTTCAGATCCAGATAAGGAATGTTGTTAAATAAGTCCACTTCAGATACAGAGAAAAAGATAATGTGCTCCTTCTGCAAATGAAGTGAATAGCAATTAAACATCTTGCCCTACAGAAATGGAAATTTAGGCTGTTCATCACTGGCAGCCTTTGTCACCACATGCTCTTTTATCTCTTTTTAGTACGTGCCTTTATAACCTTATAAACTCTCAGCTAAAAAACTCTGACCATTTTAGAGGTCTTCATGTATCTTTGTGCTAATAGCATTCCCCTAGGGGTGAAGGAAGATGACTATAACAATGTCTTCCTGCAGGCAGAACGTTTAGAAAAGAAAAGAAACAATAATATGTGCACACCGATATGCTCATGCACTGACTCACACACATTATCCTGAACCATTACAAATGATAGTTACTGTAATTTATAAGGAATTACTTGAAGCACAAAAATAGAAACATTTAAAATAAAGTGACAGTTTTATTTTTCTCTAATTGCTTGACAGTAATAAATATGAACTTTGTCTACAGAAAGGATTTATTGATATCTGCTTTGCCACAAATTCTCCAGGGACCTCTTGAGAACCTTTCCCCTTTACCTTTATGCACTAAAAGGGCAATTCTGCCAACCAGAAATGCTTCAAATTGTATTTCATGATCATTTGCTTCTCAATAAGCATGTGCAGGATTGTAATTTTACTTTGTTTTTACAGTAGGTTCAATCATACAGAGGTTTACACAGAAGAAAAACCTTTATGTACATCCATATGCATGTCTATTGAAAAATAAATCCCACTGATTTGAGTGGGGAATATTCTGAAATACTGTATGTGCATATAGCGTTCCAGCCTTTTTCTGACATTTCTTGATTAGAACATCTACATTCTAAACTGGCATTCACATCTCATGAATATGATTTTGAAGCTCTTTGTATATATAATTTTGTTCTATTTCTCAGCCAGGATTGCATAGTGTAGTAATGAGAATATTGGATCAGGATTGGAGAGACCCAATTTCACACTGAGCCATGCAAGCTCACTTGTGACTTAGAATCAATCACTGTCTTTCAGTGGAATGGTAGTTGTAGAAAAAAAAAAACTGGAAGAAGTGCAAAGTATGCTTTGTGCCAGAAGAAAGGCAAAATATGAATCTAATGAACAAATATTGTTTTTTTGCCATATCCCATTTAGCATTATAATTACCCTGTGTAGTAGTACAGATTGCGAAAATGCCCTGAGAAAGGTTGTGACCTATGTCTTTTTCCATCTTAGACATTTTAGCTTTCTGCCACTGGTACAATGGGAAGAAACATTTTGGTTTCTTTATTGTAATGGAAAATGTGATAAATAACTCAAGCTTGCCAGCCACTTTGTGTTTAAGATACAAGAAGAGCTTTGGCCAAAATTAAATGACTACATTTGATAGTCACTTTGAGAACTGAAGCAGAAAATCCCAGAAGTATCTCTTTGTTTAGTATCTCTGACCCCAGAAATACTAAATAAATAACAATTTTATAAATTAGGGAGGATGGATGGGTGGGTTTGTGTGTAAGTATTCTGTTGAAAGCTGCATAAGACCCCAGGGCCACATGTTAACAAACCCTTGTCTAACTTTATGTCAAATAAATCTCTCACTTGCCAACTCTTCTTTCCTGTCTCCTCATCTACAGTGATTTTGTAGATAAATGTGAATTTGTCCCCTGATTCGTTATTTATTTATTTCCCACTTCTCTTATTTTTACAATACAATAACTAAACGGCTGTGAATATATCCAAAACCTCTTCCTCCTCCGATTTTTTCCACGAAACACTCCTGTGAGGTGGAGTTAGGCCGAAAGAGTGGCTGGTCTATCACACAGCTGGCTTGGATAAGTGGGACTTGAACTCATGGTTTCCCACATTCTAGCCTAGTGCCTTAACTATTAGAATAAACTGGCAAGGCAAATGTATCTCTCATCCCTCCTGAAGCTGTGTATTCAATGGAGAGGATTAGCAGTGAGCTGTTTTTCTTTGCTGTGATTCTGAATATGTGAGAAGTTTGGAAGCAAGCTTTTGTTTAACTAACCACAGTTAGTATTTTGTCTGCTAAACGTAGCTATGAAACATGCCCACTTCATGTTGTGTTTAACACAGCTGGTTTATTTCCATGAATGTTGACCACAGTTTAAGATGCATTATATTGCTATTAATTGGAAACAATGCAAAATATTCCAATTTAACTCTTGCTGCCATGCTGAGAAAGGGGAGTACTGATAGCACCATACAACACAAATTATTCTTTGATATGCTATCCCTGAAACAAAGTGGTGAGGGAGAGTGAGGATTGATTCCATTTGTTTTATAAAAAGTAATACAAAATAATGCAGTGTTTTGAACAGTGTTAACTTGGCTAAGCCTTATAAAGTAAATAAGCAACCAAGAAAGAAAAATGGTTTACGCTTTTTCTGCTTTTTTTTATACAACAAAGGTCAATGAACGCTATTAAAATAATACCTTGATATTTTGGGAAATAAGGTTTTGCTCCTCCTGTTATGCAGATCCCACTTGCCCTATGTCCATACAATGACACAGATGCCACTACATTGATTAGGTGACACAACTTCATTTCTACATTCATTAGTCATTGCCAACTGTATCACTTTGTCTAGGAACTTATGAGCTGCTAATTTTTGATCTCTTTGTGGTGTAGAATTCAGTGAGATACTTTGGAGACATATAAATGTCCCTGTAAGTGTCCCATTGAGCTATAGAGGTGATGAAAAGAAACAGTAAAAGAACAATAAGGACATTTGCCAGCTGTTCTATTTGAGATAACTAGAAAACGTATGATGCTGTGACAGGGACATCAGCATTTAGGAAATGGTGAAATAGCTTGCGAAGAAACAGGGAAGAACAAACGTTTCTTGTTTTGATTCCTTTCTATGTACATAAAATGAGAAATAATGTTGAATTATTCTGCTCATATAATCACAATTGTACATACTGAACATGTAATAGGGCAGCCATTTAGATTTGTAAATACTGGAATAAAAGTTTGACTGTGTCAGACAAAAGTAAAATGACACGCCATGTGATTTCATTCTCTTTTCCTATCTTCAGAAAGAAATAAGATAATTGGAAAAATGAGTCCCTCATAAATCTGATAACATTTTTTAAATATAGTAATATGAGGATAATACAGGTAATCCTTGTTTAGTAACTGTTTGTTATGACAGTGATGAAAAATTAACTTTACAATAAGTTCTTATGGTTATAAATTACATAGGTCTGTAAAGCAAAGGAAAGCTGAAGTAAGTTCATAAGTAGAACTATAGCAACAGCTTCACTTAATGATGAAATCGCCAGTCCCAGTTATGGCACTAAACGAGGACTATCTTTAATCTGTCTTATTCACCAACAAATGAATGGTTATTGGAAACAGCTGAAGAAAGCCAGATTGCAGAAGCTTCACATATGTTACTGAATAAGCTAATGATCCCTAGATGCCAGCATAGAGTTAGAATTTTCTCTTTCTTGTTGCTACCATCCAGTGGTGATATAGATGATTGTACCCCAAATCTGCTAACCACACAAACTCAAGAATAGCTAGCAGTGATTGTTCCTATTGATTCAGCTCTCCATAACAGTCACAGTTTTGCATGTGGCTCCTTGCAAAAACCCCTGAGTTTTTGTACTTAATGGTCATCTCTGGGAATTAATGGTTTCCATCTTACCACCATCTTAACTGTTTTAGTAACCCAGAATTTCTTGCTCTTTTCACAAATCAATTCTTTTTGTTGTTTTTACTTCAATTTTTAAAAATTTGTGCTATTAGACAAGTCAGGTTACAATTCTAAGCCTTCCAGAGTTATATATATATATGATTTTTTGATTGCTAACAAAGAGTTAAAGGGAGACTGGTATAGCTATTTTGAGCAAATTAGCTGTCATCAGCCAGCCATACCTTCTGAGATTCGAACCTGGGCTGCTTGCACGGTAGGCAGCTGTGTTGACCCCCAGGCCACAGGCTCTTTCTCACTTTGTAAGCTGTATCAGGGAGGGAAGAGACAGGGGAGGAGATACGTCTTGAGTGTTTTTTTGATGCACCCTGTCGGCCCAAATATGGGAAGAAGAAAAAGATTTCTTCTTGCCATATTTGGGCTGACAGGGTACATTAAAAAAACACTCAAGATGTATATGTGATTGTATATACTGTGTGTGTAATAAATAAGTTAAAACTAAACATTAAAATCCAATTACAGGATTGTAATTTTTAAAGTTCAGTAGTTTCTAGCTTTCTATAAGGCCTCCTTCTCCCAAAATCCTTTGCTTGGAACTCATATTGATGTTATTTGTTTCTTGACATTATTTTATCCTCATTAAACTCAGTTAAACTCTGTTCTACTGTGGACATGACTATTGGGACTTGTGGATCTGTTTATTCTTGGTTCCCACCTTGAAATTTTGCTTTAACATGCAGTTATCTATCCTAATTTCTGCATCATCAAACTCAATGGACACTATCTGCCAC